GGTTGACCCTTTAGATTTTCATTGTTAGATTTTAAAAAAGAATAACAAAACTTAATACATGCTACAAACATTTCAGTTTTACAGTTGGATTTAACTTTTTCAAACATGGAGAACCAGTCTTTGCTGTCTGCTGTGCTTCCACTATACTTTAGGGGATTCTACTAGTAAAAACTAGTATTTTTATATCACTTTATATCTGCAGATCCTCTTGTGTTACTTCTCAAGATACAACATGATCAAGTCATTTCATGATCAAGTAATTTTCTTCTATTTCCTTCTCTCCATATCTACTTTGATTAAGAGATCTAGAAATTACGAAGGCTTGAACATATTTTGTGTCCTTCTGATTTGCTTAGGAAAGGCATTGAAATTGTCTTAAGTATAAAAATTATTTTAATGATACTGAACACTCTTACAGTACAGTGCTATAAACATCTGCTCAGAAGTAAGTCCTACTGATTTCAATGAGAATTATTACATAATTGTACATAGGATTGCAACATTAATGATATTTTCCCAGCTTGAAATTTAAATAACATGTTGGTTTTTAGCTGCCGTTACAAATGACTGCTTTTTAAAAAGCGTTCCAGTACACAATCATCAGAAAAAAATATGTCTCTCAAGAACGTCAGGCTACTTTCTAACCAAATAAATTCAGCTCCTAGTTACACTGGTAAAAGAACTCGTACAGTGGGGTCTCGACTTACGAACTTAATCCGTATTGGAAGGCAGTTCTCCGGTCGAAAATTTCTTAAGTCGAATCTGCATTTCCCATAGGAATGCATTGAAAACCATTTAATCCGTATCTGCTCTTTTCGTCCATAGAAACTAATGGGAAGCTGCTATTCCGCCTTCTGCCACTAGAGGGGGATAATTTTTTCTTTTTTCCTTTTGAACTAAGATGACTTAGCTTTAAAAAAAGGGGAAAAAAAGAGCTGCCGTTACAAATGACTGCTTTTTAAAAAGCCTTCCAGTACACAGTCATCAGAAAAAATATGTCTCTCAAGAAGGTCAGGCTACTTTCTAACAAAATAAATTCAGCTCCTGGTTACACTGGTAAAAGAACTGGTATACGAACTGCTCTTAGCTGCAATTGCATTTATGTTTTTAAAAAGTTGATCACATGATGCATAGTGGCTTTTTTCACCCCTCACATTATTCTGTTTGAAAGTGCATCATTTAACTTTCTCCTTGCAGGGTTGTTTACTTTAGCTTGAGGCTGAATTGCAATTTAATGCCTCAAATGTATTTAATTTAATTAATTTATTTAATTAATTTATATGCCGCCCACACTACCCAAAGGTCTCTGGGCGGCTTACAATCAAATTGCCCCAGTGTCCCTTGTTCTCCCCCCATAAATTGCTCCTGCCTGATCACCCTCTGCCACCCTGCTTCGTGCCTCCCTGTCCCCGTGCTCAACCTCCATGTCCAGTTGAACTGCTCTTAGCTGCAATTGCATCTATGTTTTTAAAAAGTTGATCACATGATGCATAGTGGCTTTTTTCACCCCTCACATTATTCTGTTTGAAAGTGCATCATTTAACTTTCTCCTTGCAGGGTTGTTTACTTTAGCTTGAGGCTGAATTGCAATTTAATGCCTCAAATGTATTTAATTTAATTAATTTATTTAATTAATTTATATGCCGCCCACACTACCCAAAGGTCTCTGGGCGGCTTACAATCAAATTGCCCCAGTGTCCCTTGTTCTCCCCCCATAAATTGCTCCTGCCTGATCACCCTCTGCCACCCTGCTTCGTGCCTCCCTGTCCCCGTGCTCAACCTCCATGTCCAGTCATGCCCACCTCAACAAGAGCCACGAAGGAAGAAGGACAGGCAGGTACAGGAAGCCTGAGAGAAATGTGGCTGGTCCAGTGCCAGGTTGGAGGAGCAAAAAAGTTGTCTTTGTGGGGGAAGGATCTGAGACAAAGATCCTCATGGATCTAGATGATTTTATGTAAGATCATCCCCAAAACAATCTCAGCCATAGGAACCATCTCTGTTCACAAACTGGATAGTGGTTTGTCAATGTTAAAATTATGGGGATTGAGGAGGATCCATGCTTGGATCAGTGTTTTTGCACCATTATAAAGCCAGACACCCCTCACTTCTCTGTTGTATTCTGTGGATACAAATGGAGCATTTCTAAAAGGACAAGCAGCTTAGCCCTTGCTCTCCCCGCACTCACATCACAGAGCAGTTGGGGCGAGTGGCCAGCATGAGGACAGAATGAGCAAGCCTCAAGTCAGACTATTTAAAAAGCCTGTGTAGCCCCCCTAAAACACAGCTTAAAACGTATTAAGTTTTCCCAAGAGGAGCAGTGTAAAAATGTGACGCTTTAACCACTGTCTCAAAGGGAGAGAAAGTCATACACCATGTGACTTATCACATGACTTTCAAATCGCAGCAAAAAAACCTCCTATGCATATTGCGGGGTTAATCAGTAGTGTAGATCCTATGCATACTGTGGGGTTAATCAGTAGTGTAGATAAGCCCATAGAGTATCATAATAGTTCAACACTGTTCTCTGTGTTTGTTCCAGGTGAAATTTCCCTGTGGCTTCATAGTTTCTTACTGTAATGAGGCTGTATATTACTACAACTCACCACAAATTTGCTGTTGTGCTTCAATTGAACTCGTTTCTTCAAACCAAGTAATTTATTTAAATGTCTGCTCAAGTCAGCTTTTGTGTAGGTACAAATAACATGTAGCAATTTGCTCTGGTTCTTGTTTTTAATGGTACACTAGAATGATAATGGATGGGATATGGTGACGCTGCTGGTTAAACCGCAGAAGCCTCTGTGCTGCAGGGTCAGATGACCAGCAGTCGTAAGATCGAATCCACGCAATGGAGTGAGCTCCCATCGCTTGTCCCAGCTCCTGCCAACCTAGCAGTTCAAAAGCATGTAAAGATGCAAATAGATAAGTAGGTACCACCATGGGAAGATAATGGTGTTCCGTGTCTAGTTGCGCTGGCGACGTGACCACGGAAACTGTCTACAAACAAAAGCTGGCTCTACGGAATGAGCACCACGTCCTAGAGTCGGACATGACTGGACTAAATGTCAAGGGGAACCTTTACCTAGAATGAGAATTGATTTATAATTTTTAATTTTTTTAAAGCCTCCTGCTCCAGCTTCTAGAACAGGATGTGCCAAAAGCAACACATCTATCAGTTTAGCACAAAAATCTTCATAAGGCTCCTCAGCACATTGGCAGAATAATCTCACTATCATGCTGCAAGTGTGACAAGCCATCTAATGAGTGAAGGGCAAAAGCAGAGTTGTAAGAGCTGCAAATGGCAAGTTTGCTTTTGAGATGCAGGTTCAAATCCTTTTAATTGTGTGTATAAATGATTTGTTTCACATGGACTTTTTTTGCTGTTTGCACAGGAGGGTATTCACTCCCCACTCAAGTAAGCAAAAAGTCTTGTTGTTTAGAACAAAGTGATCTCTGGCTTGTGCTTCCGCAAGGTTGAGATCATGTGGAGCACACCTATGGAGGTGTTATATTTTGTGCTTGGCAAGAGAATGTGACCATGATATCTACATTTTGAAAAAAATCTTATTGTTCACACTAATGGTCAGCTTTTTCCTAGCCACTGGAAAGCACTTTATAACAAAAGAACCTCTGATGCTCAATGGAAGATATCCTATTCACATTTTGATAAAGGAAAAACTAGACTGCTTCTCTTGTAATGGTCCTCTGGCTTGTGACTGGAGCAGATATGGGTATGCTCCACCCCAAAATTCTGGGGCAAACCACTCCAGCCCTTAAATCGTTGGTCTCCTCCCCAAACCTCATAATGTGGTTTTGACATAAGCAAACAAAACTATAGATGCTATGGATAGATGTTGTGAGCACTCCCTCTTGCCTCAACCACTCAGAAGCACTTCATTACTATAACCTACAGGTTATCAGCTTTATCTTTTCTGTTGTAGAAGTGATAGATATGTTTCCTAACAAATATAACTAAGAATACAATAAAATATTATGAAAAAAACCCAATAACAAGCCTCAAATCATTTGACTGTTCTTTTCTTGTATGCAACAGACATACAGCAGGCCTCCACGAACACATACTCTGTGAAGCTGTGGGAGCATTACAACTTGCCTTGCCCAAGCTATATGGGGAGAAGGGCTTATTAAGCACAGGATGTATGAAAGGAAACTGTCTCAAGTTGACTCAGCACTGCTGTTTTGCTCTAGCTCGAGAACTTCGCAACCCCATTTCCAAAGGCTGAACAATCACAGTCTACAGGATCAAGGCAAGACAACTGCCCCACAAGCCTCAACCACTGTGCACTGGATGTCCACTTCTTCAGCAAGGAGTTCTCTCTTGTTGCAAGGTTAATTGCAGATATGAAAAGTGAAACAAACAGAAATTTGGCAACTCTAAACATAGCATGCTATACAGAGTTTCCACATCTGCTTTTAAACTACTACTGCATTTGTATATGTCAAAATCGATCTGTGCATTTTATTTACATCTGTTATCTCACCAAGCATGACCACTTTTGCCAATCAAAAAATGGCAAGTAATCCTTTATGCCTTTCTTGTGATTTGTACTACACTCTTCTGTTTAAGTAAAAAAGGAAGCATTCCAGATACAAGAGAAATGTGGTAGATCCATTATATTGCTGTCATTTGTTACGCAGGAAAGCACTACAGCCAAATGACCTAAAATGCAAAACAATAGGGGAAATCTACCAGGATCTCTAGATACAACTGAAGATTATAAGAAACAACATCTGAATATCACTTTCCCTTTCCCCATCTGTAATGATACAACTTGTGTCCCAGCGTCATGATACATTACAAGTTGCCTTCACTAGCTGGCAGCAGCTAGAGAGCCATGACAAAATGTCATGTGCTATACATATCTTAGAACAGCCCTTGAAGAGTTCTCCATTTCTTGTACATATGGTACATTCTTCTTTCTACATATCTATGCTTATATAAATGTATACATTCAGAAAAATAAAAATAAGCATATAGTTACCTTGTGGTCCCTGCTGTGTAGGTTGGTTCTGAAAATGCGTGTATGGTTTATTTGCTGAGAAATGCTGCCCATTTGGAGATTGGCTGTGTGATGATGGTGAGCTGTGCTTCTGAAGATGGGAGGGAGCAACTACCGTTTTCAGTGGACTAATAAGAGGAGGATGAATATTTGGAACAATCCTAGAACAAGAGAAGAGTGAGCAAGATTATCAGCTTGATGCCATCTTATTATGGGCGCATAAAACACCCCAACAATATAACTACGGTTATTGTTGTTTTAATTTAAATTTTTACTTACAAATGTTGGGAGTTTAAAAGGACAGCTACAGAAATTTTACAAATTATGTTAGCAAAAATAGCCAACAGTTTTAACAATCAAATTCCAGTCACTTCTTATTGTAGAGAAGATATAAATAAGCAGGTAGTTGATTCTCTTATTGAGTGTATTTTCTTCCCTGAGGTTTTTTTTTTTTTTTGTAATTGGGCAGAAATGTCCTGACTATTTTTTGTTTTTCTTTTGTAAAGCTTCCTATATACAAACTCAGCATTCAGCGAATTATAGAGTTGGATGGGATCCCAAATGTCATCAAGTCCAACTCTTTGCCAAAGCAGGAAATCCATGCCTCTAATATCTGTTTTAAAAATTACATATTGATGTATACACTAGCCTCTGTTCTGCAAGTGGCTCTCTGAACAGTTTGACAAGTACAGTACCATTTATTAGGTTTGAGTACATGGATTAAGCAGCTATTGCACCCAGGCTGCAGGCAAGTTAATGTCTATTCTCCATAAAGTCAAGCCCTCTGGATCTGAAACATGGCATAAGGGAAGGGTTTTATAATAGACCCTTCTCCCCTTCATGTTATGGTCCAGCTACTTTTTGCCAACCTGAACCTGTTTGGCAATGAGACTGTCCATTTGGTACCCCCTCCCTGTCAAGGAAATTGTCTCAGGTAGACTATCAAGAAGAAGCAATTTTTGCAGTATAAGTGTATGAAAGGTTTAACTCAGTCCACCATGCGGTGCCTAATTGGTGTGAAGGCAGCACCGAGTTTAACTATTGCTGAAATTAAAGATGCATTCTTGCACAGAATGTGCCTGTTTTGAATGATAAAGGCAGAATGGTAATTTATATAATTACCTTATAAATCAAAGACGTTATGTTACATATTTTGCCAGTCTCGGTACAAAAAAAGTACACATGGGGATGAGAAAATGCATTTCCTTCTTTTGCACCCAAAATTTAAAAAAAATCCAAAGTGATATCCATCTTAAATATAAAAAGATCTGTGAATTGTGGCAAATTCATTCACAACAAGTTACAGTGAAATTCTGACCCACATATGCCAGCCAGATTCAGGAGGAACAGTTTGTTCTAGCAGGGAGAAGATTATGTTATACCTCCTTGCCTCATAGTTTCAGAGCCTGTAAGTGATTAGTTACATGTAACATAATTATCTAAAGCTAGCTGCTTTCTGGGTAGCAAGTAATGGAGTGAGTACTTCTAAATTACTACAGTAAAGGTTATCTAACAAATAGTTACTTTAGGGTATAATGAATAACTTTAAAGGCATTTTGATTGGAATTTTTCAGGTTTTATGCTACTCTTATAGTTCTCTTATAAGTAACAAGGGAAAGATTCTTTGGTTGTGCCTTTTGTATTTTTGTGAATGTTTACAAGGTACAATATCAGAACTGGCCACTAGATGGACAAGGTTTAAATCTTTGTACAGTGGGGTCTCGACTTACGAATGACCCGACTTGCGAACAATTCGAGTTACGAACCTGCCCTATAGGGAAAGTAAGGACTCGACATGCGAACTTCCCTCGAGTTATGAACAGGGAAAAAAGTCCCCCCTCCCTCCCCTTAGAGGCTTCTGGAGGGGGGAAAAGGGTCAGAAACTTAAAAATAAATACTGTACTGTTAAATAAAGTCACTTACCAGGCCTTGGTAGCCCCCAAACCACAGGAAAAAGAGCAGGAAAGAGCTAAAAGCCGACACCCAGAAAGAGCCTGGCAGCCATTTTGTGGTTTTCCCCGCTCCTCTCCCCGCCTAACAGCTGATCGGCTGGCTCTGAGCAGGCTTCCGGAGGCTTGCTCAGCACCTAAAAAGCCTGCCTGAGTGCCTTTGTGCTGAAAAAATCAGCACAACACGCTTTAAAACATTATTTAAAATTGACTTCGTTTAAAAAAAAAAGAGTTCTAGAGTGCTGCCTTTAGTGTTCCCTGCCTTCCCTGAACCTAAGGGGAAAAAAGAAAGAAAATATCCCCCTCTAGTAGCAGAAAGCAGAATAGCAGCTTCCCATTAGTTTCTATGGACAGAAAAGAGCAGATACGGATTAAATGGTTTTCAATGCATTCCTATGGAAAATGCAGATTCGACTTAAGAACTTTTCGACTTGAGAACCACCTTCCAATATGGATTAAGTTCTTAAGTCGAGACCCCACTGTACGTAAGCATCAGGACTTTGAAGTCAACATAGACCATGATTGTAGTTATATGCTACATAAACCATTTCCCCTCATCCTGCTCATGCAGTTATGAACTTTCATGATGGCACTGGCACTTAGGTTGCTCAATTAAGCCATTCTATGATATGGCTGCAAGGTGTGTTCTTGCTGTCAGTACTGATACATCAAACAAAACTCATGATTATTGCATTGCTGTAATTATTCATATGCATATATTAATTATACAACATATTGTCTAAAATCAGTGAGGTCATTACTGTAAGTTCCGGTACTTCACTGTGTGGGATTATTCACCCAATTGTTATGGGCATGTGTGAGCAAACCACCATTTGCCATAGAAGAAAATGACTAGAATCCTAATGAGTTTATGTAAGCTTTCTACAACATGGCAGAACTAAATGCAGCCAATTTAGGAGCTGCGAAGACAAACATTAGTGTCATGACTAGTCATGCACTCAACTGTGCAATTTAAATGTGCTCAAGCATTTCATCAATTAGCCACTCATAGTCTTAGCAAGTGATGCAATCCCTATGCAAACAAGAACATTACAGCCAATTTTAGAAAATCTTTGTGGAAAGTCATCAATGACTTCTTCCTGGTGTCTTGAAAGATTTAGAAGCTCTGTCCTTTCCAATTCCTCTAATTCTTTTCCATAGCTGGGGCAGACTCCGAACTCTATCACCTTGACTAGTTATCAGGGAAACACAAACAGGAACAAACTCAGAAGGAACATAGACAGATGACACATTCATGTTACACACTTGCACCACTTTCCCAAAGGGAAGTACAGTGGGAATACTGGGATCTGGGATCAGGAAAGAGTTTGCCATAAGTGGATTGGAGCCCAATAACGGAAAGAAATTTCTTGATGTTCTGTCTCATCAAATCACTTCTGACCTATGATGACCCAACAAATTGGTGTCCTCCAGATTAAAGGATCTACTTATGTCTTGCAGATTAAAGGGCATTATTAAATTGATTCCTCTCATGGTGACGGCAATCCGTTCCAATTGGAATGGATTAACCGGTTTTCAATGCATTCCTATGGGAAATGGTGTTTCGCAGAACGATGGTTTCACACAGCGATGAATTTTTTGGAACCAATTAACATCGTTGTATGAAAGTACTTTTAAAATGGAGCCTGAACTTTGTTGCTTTCAAAATAATATGTTTTTTTTTTTCCAAAACAGCTGGCCAGCTCTGGGAAAGCAAAATTAATGAATTAAACAATCCTGGCAACTGAATGAATGTTTTCGTTTTAATCTGAAAATTTAAGAGATGAGATTAATATAAACAGCAGGTGAATGAATGGAAAAGGAGTACTGTATGATTTTACAGTGCTATCTTTTGTAAAATGTCAGATCGTGAGATGTAGGTATTAAGATTCCACATTATTTTTAGACTGGCAGTGACACCACATACAAAAGCCAACATTAGAAAAAGACAGTCATAACAAAAATATCTGCAAACATTTAATTCCTAGCTCAGGAACGGTGATCTATGCAGAATATATGGACAGATTATGGTAGCACATCAAACTGTTTCCTACTGTTGTAAGACTGGGATAAAAAGGTAAGAAATTGTTTATGAAAAAAAGGAAAAGGAAACAATTGGTAAGAGTATAAATATGTAGAGATAGGGCATGCACAATCAACGGAGCATGGCATTCAACACATCACAACTCCACGCTACTTTGGGTAACAGACAACAAAGAACAACAATCAATATGGATTTTCTAATAGACTAACTGATTTGACTGAGTGAGAACATTATTTAATCATTTTAATGTCTGTGCAAGAATGTGTGTTTAAAGGTGAAGAAAGTTATTTTCTTTAATACGTTTTTTCTTTTAACATCTTTTGCATTTTTAATATGCTTCATAAGTGCTGCTAGAGTTACAATGCTTTTTCTATTCACTAATGTGTTCTAGAGATGTATTCTTTTTTTTCATGGATTTCTAAAAATCCTCCCCTTTAAAGTTAGTCTTCTCAATCTGTTCCTGACAAGAGAAAATACAGCACAGCATGAGTAATTGGTAACTACTTTAAGGAAATATAAAACTGAAAGATGGAGAAATTTCCTTCTCCTTTGCTGATATTTGAAGGTAAAATACAACCACAACAGAGACATGGATGTTTCCAATGTGAACACTGTTTTACTTTGTTGTTGTTTTGGAAGGAAAGCTTTGACTGTCATACTCTCCTCTCAGACAATGGGTCCCAATAATTATTCCATCATCTCAGCAGGCAGAAAATCATATCCAGAGTCCAATCCATCTGTACTCTGTATCAAATAAATTCCTATATATTTTGTGATGTGGTGACTGCCTGCACTTCAAACTATTTAAAAAGTACTGTCAAATAGTATATAATAAATGCTGGCTTTGAGAGTGATTACTGAACACTGATACACACAAAAAGATAATAATACAGTAAAATTTTGGAGAAGGGTCAGTGCATATACAGTGGTGCCCCACTTGACGATTGCCTCATTAGATGAAATCACTTAACGACGTGTTTTTTGCGATCGCTTTTGCAATCGCAAAACGATGTTTAGATGATAGGGAAAATTCGTTTTACAATGATCGGTTCCCTACTTCAGGAACCGATTTTTAGCTTTACGACGATCAGAAAACAGCTGATCATCGGGTTTCAGAATGGCCGCCCGCTGCTTAAAATGGCTCCCCACTGTGTTTAGGAAGGCTTTT